TTGCTGCATTTATCCGTGTCCCTTTTGAGTTTTTTTCCCTCTCTTCCTTTTAATCATTGTTACTCCTCTCTATAGAGCTTGATATGGAATCTTCAACAAGCCTGGAAAATGGGGAAGGCGAGGAGTTGGGAGCACCCCAAGAGGCATGCAATCAAATCGCAGATGTAGTGCAGGAGGCCATAAGGAGGATGGAAATGGTGACCGATGAGAAGTTGAGGATGTTCAAGAAAGCTCGCTTGGCTCTTGATGCTTGTGAGCGGGAGCTCGAGGACAAAGCCAAAGAAGTAGCAGAACTAAAGCTGGAGAGGCAGAAAAAGAAGGTGCAGATAGAAGAGCTGGAGAAAATCGTAAGGCTTAAACACGCAGAGGCCAATATGTTCCAGCTCAAGGCCAATGAGGCAAAACAAGAGGCTGAGAAACTTCAGAGTATCGCTCTTGCTAAGTCCGATAAATCAGAGGAAGAGTATACGAGCAGCTACCTCAAACTTCGCTTAAGCGAGGCAGAGGCTGAGAAGAAGTATTTGTTTGAAAAGATAAAGCTTCAGGAGAGCTCACGGGCATCTCAGTGCAGCAACGGAGGTGACCCTTCACAGATGTCGACCTATTCGAAAATCCGCGATCTTCTCACCAGATACAATGTCCCCTCTGAAGCAGACTCTCAGCCAAATGAGCGGCATAGTTTCAGAACAAATCCCTAAAGAACTCCGGATAGTATGTTATTTATTGAAGCAAGCTGCTTTGTTGGTATAGTGTAAGATTTGCTACTTAAATCTAGCCATGTCCTTGAACTTTGAATCAACTTCAGTTAACTTCTTATCCTTATAGAATGCCAATAATTTATGTAGAACCTAAAATTAACAAAAATAATTAATTAATTAAAATTGTATCTTCTTTCTGATTATATTTATTATAATATTACTTGGATATATGTTGTTTACTATACTAACAATTGTAATTGTCATCCCAAAAAAAATATTACATTTAAAATCTAAAATGTGCTTTTGAAGAATGTAAATGCTGACGTAAATTATTTGTTTAATGCAAAATTGCAAAGAAATATCCAATTTTTATAACTATAGTATTCGATCTATTAATCGATTAATTTAAATTGAGTATTATAGAGATTTAATATGGAATAATCTTCTTAACTCAATTTGTTTCATTCTCAATAATCATGATTCGAACTCTTTTAACTTTTTATCATCTCATCAGATCAATTAGTTGCTAGTAGAAATACCACCTTTAATTCTCATCTAAAATAAAATTAGTACAAACTAACCAACAACATCACCTGCCCTCAAATCTTACCCTTCCACGTAACCTTACAAATCCACGTGTAATAATCAATATCAATATGAGCATTGCGCGCCAAGTTCTAAGCAGTACATACCGTTATGGTCACTGAAATTGAGATAAAATCTTAGTAAACCCCAGCTCACACTCTGTTGAAAGACTGAGAGGGGAATATTTGGGTTATCAATGTCTATTGATTTTCTCTTTTGATTTAGCTTCATCTAATCATCTTCATCTTCATCTTCAAAAAGGTAAGTCAATTTCACATATCACTTGCTGCACTTTAAGTTTGATGGTCGACCAACCCTGATCTGCAAAGCGTTAATCTTTTAACTGAATCTTGCATTTTAAGTGATCTGGGTACTTCTTTTGTGACCTTAATAAGTAGATTTAGTTCATAAGAAAATGTTGGGTCGTTCTGGGCCATCAAGAACTGCAATCTTTAGGCCAGAGAATCTAGTGCAAAACGCTTTACATGCGATTGCCAATCTTTGTTTCACTATATTTGTAATAGGCGTACTAGTTTTCACCATAATAGCTGCTACTTCTGAACCATGGGACCCTTTTTTCCATCCTTCAACAAAGATCACAATTTTCCTCACTTCCACATCAAATGCCACATTTCAGTCGGATAACACGGTTGTTAGAACCGGAGAGGATTTTGCGGCTGCCAACCAGACTGCATTTTCCACTTTTATCAATGTGACGGATGTATAGAAACCAAGGATGTGAGTACGGATGAAATTAGCTTGTCGCGATGTGAGTCTGATTCGATCGGACCAATTGATTGTAAGAACCCTGAAGTCATCCATTTGATGATGAAAGTGCCGATTGACCGTTGTAAGGATATCCACTTTTATCGGTTTGGGAAACCGACTCCTGGCCCCAAGGAGAATACTTGTGACATGGCATGGCAATTTAGGCCTAAGGAAGAGAAGACAAGTGCTTTTTATAAGGATTATAGGCGCTTTGTTGTTAAAAGGTTGAAGAATTGTAAGCTCAGCGTGGTCAGGATTGGGGATTATCATTCAGGTGTGAATGCAAGGAAGAAGCATAAGAATCAAAAGTCTGGGTTTAAGAAGCACCTAGCGGGCAGGAGCAAGGTGGTGTGTCTTTTCCTTTTTGGGAAAGCAGTAAACGATTCGCTTCCAGTGGTAGAATCTGAAAATACATTCAGTGGTGCTAAGTACTTGATTTATGTGGGAGGGGGAGATAGGTGCAAGAACATGGACCATTACCTGTGGAGTTTCTTGTGTGCATTGGGTGAAGCACAGTATCTGAATCGCACTCTGGTTGTGGATTTGACAATTTGTTTGTCTTCAGTTTACACATTGTCGAATCATGACGAGGAAGGGAAGGACTTCAGGTTTTACTTCGATTTCGAGCATCTGAAGGAGACAACATCAGTGTTGGATCAGCGGCAGTTTTGGGAAGATTGGAACAAATGGCAAAGACAAGATGGATTGAGTCTTTATCTTGTCGAGGATTTTAGGGTGACACCAATGAGACTTTCTGAGGTGAGAGACTCCTTGATTGTGAGAAGGTTTGGACCTGTGGAGCCAGATAATTACTGGTACAGGGTTTGCGAAGGAGAGACGGAATCTGTGAGAAGGTTTCGAAGGCCATGGCTTCTGGAATGGAAATGGAGAAGGTTGATGGAAATAGTGTCGGCAATTTCATCAAGGTTGAACTGGGATTATGACTGTTCATATCGAGAGAGGTGAGAAAGCGATGAACAGGGAAATGTGGCCTAATCTTGCACAAGATACCTCACTGGATGCCCTTATCTCAACTTTGCAGGATAAGATCGAAGATGGGAGGAGTCTGTATATTGCAACAAATGAACCTGACATATCTTTCTTTGATCCTTTGAAAGATAAATTTTCCACCATTTCCTTAGTGATTATCAGGATCTTTGGAATGAGAACAGTGAGTGGTATTCCGAGACAAAAGAACTAAACAGTGGAATTCCAGTTGAATTTGATGGTTACACGAGGGCTTCCATTGATACGGAAGTTTTCGTGAGAGGCAAGAAGCAGATTGAAACTTTCAATGATCTCACCAATGATTGCAAAAATGGAGTTAACACCTGCAATACTGCAGCCAATTAATTCCCAAAACATGAGGTCCGACACTGTTGCAACATTTAGGTAACACATCCCTCCACATTTTTAGCTATTGTCTTGCCTGGTGGTTTTTGTCATTGAGTGGCATTTTTTCAACTCTCTACTTGTAATTGAATTTTGGCTATCAATGTTACACGACATTATTTTGAGGTTATTATAGTAACTATCTTTGATCTGCTGCCTTATATATATATTTTTTTGGATAATTCTGATTTTATTACCCAAACAAAGTTAAGATACAACCAATCAATCAATTAACATCAAAACAAACAGCCTATACAAAATGATCGGCTAGCCTATACCCCAAGCATTACAAAGCTTTAAGTTAATACAATCAAGTCTATTAATATTAGTTCTCCTAAGACGGATTCCAACGACGTCTTTAACCTCCTTTAGCAAGCAGTCAATTGTTCTACTACGGTGCTGCCTTATATTGTTGTCTTGTCTTGTAGTAGAATTTGCCTTTTAAACTGACGTGTGCCAGAGCCACAGCCCCGAAATTAATAAATTTGATCATCAAGCAGTATTTTAGTGAATCCCACAAATATATCAAAAAAGAAATCTTTTTAGATTTTGATACCATGGGGAACAAAATTGAAAACTTAGCAAAGAAAATGCATGAATGATCATCAAAGATTAGGGACCACATAAAAACATTTATTTTGGTGGTGCCTTAAAGTTAGCCAAACAATTTTGTATTCCTCTTCGACCTCTTGGTGTGGTTTGAGTGCATGTAAAAACTCAGGTGCAATGGTCAAAACTACATCCAATGGAGATTTGCTTTTCTGTCATGATTCCAATGTCTAGACACCATCTTGATGTTAACCTGACATGAATCTTGTTCAAATGTCTTTTGTCATGAAAATTAAAAACACCAGTTAATGCCAAAACTGCAGGTGGTGCCCATGAGAGTTGGAAACAGATGTTTTGACAAGCCATCTGTTGAATATAGAGACAACCAGAAGTTCATGCTTCGTAGTACAAGCAGAGAGAGAGAGGTGCATTGTATTTGTTTGGCTGTTATTGTTGTGCATATGATGTTGGAGAACTTTCTCAATATATACACTAGTACACTTTGGAAGATATTTTTTACTCATTTTACACAACAGTGATTTAAACTGTCGTCATTGAGAATGGAAGCATTTCAATTTCCTTTTACTTCCTTATCAGAAGTGCTAAAATGGAAAGGTATACTCCAGAGAAACTCCGGTTCAAGCAATTACGTACATAGGGTGTTTGTGCGTTGTTGATAGGCTAAGAAATTTTTTGAACATATACTATTTCATAATTACCTCCAGACTATCCAAAAAAAATGAAATAAGTTCAACTGAGCTCGTTGCTCATATTTTCACTTTGAATAATGACATCCAACATGTTTGAGATTCGATTCAAATCTCATCATCTACAACCCCATACAAACCTAAAGCATGCTCTAAGATATAAGACATATATAACCATAAAAACATGGTAAACCTAACATCAACATATTATACTATAACAGCTAAGATCATAAACAAGGCAGGTCCTGCCAACTGATCTTGGTTCACTTTTCAATCTCTCTCATTGCACCAAAAGTGAGGCAATAAAGAAAACAAAATCCCCATGAATAATAGATGAACAAGAAAGAAGTGAGACTGCATGTAACATCAGAAACACTCCAAAATGAGCATTGATTCAGTAACACAACATCACCACATCAAGGTAAACTTGCGGGTACCGATAACTCTAGCCTAAACATGAAACCTACTATGATAACAGTAATTTATATACCGTACAATAAATATGCTGTACAACGAAACTTCCTCAAGTCAGCATGCCTAGTAATATTCTCTCACTAAAAGCAGGAAGCCTCCTCTTCAGGCAGCAGAGGAGTTCTGCAAAGAGGGCATGTGACATTCCAATAATTCAACCACTTTTCCAAGCACTTCTTGTGAAAGAGATGTCCGCAGGACAAGTGGTTAATCTCCGATTTTGGCTCGAACTGAGTCAGGCAAACCGAACAGTCATGCTGTGGCTGCTTGCAGTTACACAAGGCATCAAACCGAATTGCCGGGGTCCTACTCCGGAACTCCTCAACGTAACCGTCAGGAGTATTAAGGTGGAACTCAAAAGGCTCTGAGGGAATTTCAGCAGAATCCGAGGATGACGAGAGATGAATACCGACAATGTGAAGGATCGATTGAATTATGCCTTTAACTATAGATATGGATAAAGCTGTGTTTACTAAGAGTATGCATAGCACTCCTTCTGATGGAGTTGGGAGACTTGAGAGACCCATGTTTTGTATCAAGCAAGGATTTTTATGTGGGATCCAGAATAGAAAAAGATGTGCAATTTGAGATGTTCAAGGTTTAGTTTAGCACAAATAATTTTAGTCAGTAGCCAAGGAAACTAATAAATAAGAGATGTAAATGATGAAACTCTTTTGTTGATATATATGACCTGGGAAACATAAAACATATATTAGAATACCATAAAAAGATAGTAATCAATGCAAAAGTTATCGAATTATGCAAACCAAAAAGGTAAACCATGAAATATATAATTCCAGAACTCACATGTAGATAACCTCAAAGACAAACAAATCATTGAGCAAGACAAAAACACCATTCTAAAAGAGGAAGATCACCATAAATGATTTTGAAAATTACCTTGAAAGCAGAGAGGACACCTTCAAGACTAACCTGCAAGAGAACCAGTATTCAATCTGTAAAGTGATGCCACTTGAAAAAACACCCAAGATTTCTTATTTTTGATATAACTGAAAATAAATAATTACTCCAGCATTCATAAGGATGGGTTAAAAATGGCATCTTGTTACTGGCCTCACTGGCCAAGAACAGGATAGGCATTTAAATACAAGAGTTAAGACACACAACTATACTCCATAAAGTAAAAGCTCAAAGAAATAGTAAGATGAAACATCTGGAAAGCAAATGGTCAACTGTGATTTCAAATGAAAGGAACTCAATAATTGAATTTAGAGCGTTCAATACTATCAAGCTAATAACATCCCCCACAAAAGATCAATGCTAAACAAACCACCTTGTTCTTAAGCTTGCTTCCACCGCCAAGATCTAGCCACACCAAAACCTTGATGGTAATAAACATGCTGAAAACAGGTAATCGGATCAAAGTTCTAACAAAAAATGGGAAAGTACAATATTTCCAATTGGAAAATCCAATTAATTAAACCACATAAAAAATGCATCAACAAGATGATATGAGATCTAACACATCCATCCATTACATGAAAAGAAACCCATAAAGTTAAATTGGCTTTCATTATAGAAAGGGGTGGAATCCATTTTTCCTTTATGCAAAAAAAACTTACACAAAAGTGGTCAGCAAAGGTACAAAGAAGTAAACAGAAACTTTTCTTAAAATGGTACCGATGAGACAGAGAGAAGAAAACCGGGGACTTTAACCGAAAAGAAACATGTAAGCTTCATGAAGGCCTGGCAATGGCTGCTGGGAGATCCTTTTTCGCCTTATATAGCAAACCCCACACCCTAACTCTGGAACAAACTGGGGTTAGGATTCCGGGTTTTGCGACTTCTTTATCGTGGTTACTTTATATCATCAATCTGTCTTCTTTTCGTGTCAACCTCAATTTTTACGTTACATCAGATTAGGCTGTTGTAGAGCTAGACATGTCCACCGTTGTTTAATTTAAATAATTTTTCAAAGTAAATATCAATTTTTTTATGAGAAAATAACCTAATTGACTAAAAATGTCTTATAATATATGATTTTAATCATTTTTTTTTTGGATTTGTCAAAATGACCAATTAAATCGCAATGCGATCGATAATTCGTAACGCGATCTCTGGTATCGTAAATCAGTTTTCAGATTCGCAACGCGAACTTCGACTATCGCAATTCGAACTTGGACTATCGCAATGCGAACTTGGACTATCGCAATGTGAATATGTAAATCGCAATGCGATAGTCGAAGTTCGCTTTGCGATAGTCCAAGTTCGCATTACGATAGCGAAGTTCGCATTGCGATTTAAATTCGCATCACAACGCGAACTTTGACGAATCGCGTTGCGATTTACAATGCGTTATAGTCCAAAATCGCAACGACTGGTGGTATTGCATTTGTTTCTTTCGACTATCGCATTGCGATTTACATATTCACATTGCGATAGTCCAAGTTCGCATTGCGATAGTCGAAGTTCGCGTTGCGAATCTGGAAACTGATTTGCGATACCGGAGATCGCGTTGCGAATTATCAATCGCATTGCGATTTAGTTGATTATTTTGGCAAATCCAAAAAAATTGGTTAAAATCGTATATTATAAGACATTTTTGGTCAATGAGGTTATTTTCTCTTCTTTTATTAGTCTGACAAGAAATATTATTTTTTATAGGTCTAGATTTTAAATCTTAAGATTGTCGATGATTTCCTATAATATTTAATTTTGATTAATTCATTCATATTGTATTAAGAAAAAAAGTAAGTTATTTTAGTGGTTAAGAAATAATTATTATTTTTAGAGTTTTTAGGTTGGAGTACCGATAACTATAATATATTTAAACTTTTATTGTTAAATAATTGGTTCTTAAGATCGATACTATCACTTATAATCATTCTAGATTAATAAAATAAATAAATTAGATATTAGTAGCTATGAAAAATATATGATCGAATGAAATAGTCTAAAGCGTACGTTGCATATCATAACTTATCATTAAAACAACGTATCGAAATACACTACAACCAAATTTGTCATTATTGTGTAAATATAAAGAAGTTTTGGGTTTTAAAAAAAATAATCATTAAATAAAATTCAATTTTACTTTTAATATAATTATAATTAAATAATAATTAATTTAAATTAATTAATTTATTCAAAATGACCGTAAACAATAGTTATTGTAAGAGACTTAACATCAAAAAATTCGTTGAAAATATTATATTATAAATACAACGCAACGGTTTGTGTCTCCCGGATTGCCATCACCCAACAGTCGTACAGTAGTCGGCCACCCAGGAATTAGCCGTGCAGACTGTCCGCCGGTGCCTCCCTGTTTCCATTGAATTGTACGGTGAGGTTGAGTTTTAATTTTTAATGGTAAAATTACATTCCAACGCCTCCTATTTCTTTTTTTATCTCGAATGGTTAAATTGCATAAAAAAAGCCCCATAGTTTGTCCTATTTATATTTTAGACAAAAGTACCTTTCTGTTTTAATATAAATGGTTAAAATACACTACCCACCCCAATAATTTTGTTTTAATATAAATGGTTAAAATACACTACCCACCCCAATAATTTTGTTTTAATTTAAATGGTCAAATTGCATTCAAACCCTCTCCCTTCCCCTGTTTAGATTTTACACTTCTAGGTTTTAAAACTTCTATTATTTGTTTTTTTTATTTTGTTAATTAATTTCGAATTTACTCTTTGATTTTAAAAAAATATTACTAATAATTTATTTTATTCATTTTTTATTACCATTAATTTCATATCATTTTATATTATTTGTTATCATTAATCTTAATAATTTGATACTTAATTTTACTTGATATTAATTGTGATTATTTGAATCATGTTAATATTAATTTTGATATGTAAATTTTAGTATGGATCGTTAATTTTAATTTTGATGCTTAATTTTTATCATTGCATTTGATTTAATGTTGATATTAATCACAATGAAAATTCATATGAGATGCCACTTGCACACCATTTTAGCTTGTTAAAATCAAATGCAGTAAGAAATTTTTATAGTTGCCAAGTATTGAACAAGCTGGATCGCATTTAAAGCGTATGGAAAAAGATGTTCCACAGTGACCAAGTAGGGCTGGCTAGGCACCTTTCCACCAGCTCCCATCTTTAAGCAGCTAAACAAATTGGCAAGTTGGGTGTTTGTGGAAAGCTACATTATGATCAACGTCCCAGATTTGTCCAGTTTTAAGAAATATCCAGCTCTGATGGAACCCCCAATCAACCTTCATCGCATCTTGCTTGCACCATTGACAAGTGGCATCAATTCTCTCACACTGCCTTTGTCATTTTCTAATGCACTTCCATTTTCATCAAACCATTTCCCTTACAAATTATACTGATAATAATAATACAAGGATGTGAGGTGAGGTGAGGGGACCCTTGAATTGAGTGTCACCAATTTCTTGATTCTAAAATTGTCATAAGGTACACAATTTCATCACAAGTGCATACAAGGATTAATCCTGTGCTATACACGTCCACCACAAGTGAAACAATATTACAACTCCATGTCTCTTTCTTTGACCTAACTACTGTTCACTGGTAGCCATTAAAACTCTCTCAACTCCACGTACATACATACATACATACTACATACATACCTACATACATAGAAATACAAAAAAAAAACAAAATTACAGCTGCATGCTTTTGATTGCCACTCCACATCGGAAGGGTGGCCTCTTATTACACGCCATGACTGCAGCAGCGTTTACAGAAGCACATAAAACAGTTGAAGGTATACTATAATAAGAACCTGAGCAGGTGAACTTCCTCGAACATAATACAGCAGGTGTGGGACGCAGCTTCGCGGCAAACATGTCCCCGGCAAATGATGCCAGGATCCATCAATCTTTTATCGTAACTAGGAACCAGGCCTTGGTAGTTTATTCATGTCATTTTCTAATCCAACTTCGGATTAAAAAAACCTGGTGCCTTATGTACACAACCATACAGCCTGCAATAGTTAAAAATGAAGGTATGAGAGTCAGTTTCACCATTTTGGGGTAAGAATAACCACTTTTTTCCAACATGGTCTTTTTTTAAGTATGGTTAAAAGATAGTACTCTCAAAAGCTTCTGGTTGGGCTCAATGGATCATAATCATAGGCATCACCAGCTTTGACAAACCGTCCCTTCACACGCTTTCTCACATCGGCCCTTGCTTTGCGAGATGCGTATCTCACTCGTTTCTCGAACCTATCAGGCAATAAGGACAATGTTAAACATACAATTTCCTTGGAAAGATGGGATTATGTATAAGTATATTTTTTATGTTCATTTTCCAAATGGAGTGTTGATAAACAAAGGCAGGCAAATTTGCCATATCCTTACTGGACTCCTCCAATGGCCGGAAGAGTAACCATATTAATTATTACCATTTCCATAGAACTAGATGTTCAGAACCAGAAAAGAGCTTACAAGAAAGAAGATTAAAATTCCAGAATTTTGTTAAGTAAGAAGCACCAAACTCACAAATTCAGTAGTCAAGTAAACCAAGATGTTCACTGCCAATCTAGTAACTATAGAGGTTATTTGGATATACTTACATTCGCGTCTTCTTCTTTTCCTTGTAACGCAAGACAGCATCACTTCTATTTGCTGACAAGGAGTTCTCAGCACCTGGGGGACACCAAGGAGGCTCCCCCATGGGAAGCATAGTGGAAGCCCCACAATCTTGGTAATCTCCTGCTGTACTCTCTCCAGTTTGGCCAGAAAATGTTGGATGGGCATGCCTAGCGGTAAAATACAGAATTGAATCAGTTTTGTTGCTCATCATGGAATCAGCAGATGCATCATTGCTGCATGCTGGCTGGATTGCATTGACCACTCCAACAGCTGAGCCCTGGAGAAGAATATTTAGGACCAACCATAAGAATTGTCACTCCCTATACAAAAATGAAGATCAAGCACATGGAGGGGTAGTGCCTTAATACTTTGTTTTGGTAAATCAGTCATGAATATACATCGAGGTTATTTACACTATTGGCAACCAACTAAAACTGATAATGCGTAAATAGGAATACTATTTAAAAACATCAGAAAAAAGAATAGCATTTAAAAACATGACAATACTATCATCAGAAAAACATAATACAGATTCTGCGAAGCAAGATCAAAAGAGATGAGAGAACCTCGGCAACTGCTGCTGCCTGACAGTCTGAATCAGCAGCGGGCATGTCCTTTGTCCCAAATAAGCTAGCAATTCCACCATTCTCGAGAAGTTGTTCTGAATGATTGAGAGTCATCCCAAAGAGTTCTTCATACTTTTCAAGATTCAGATCAACTTCATCCATGTTGAAGTCATCATAGAGATCATCCTCACAAAGTCCAGGATACCTTGTTGGAGGGCAACATGACTGCATATTATTAAAGTAAAAATTAGCAAAGGTTCCCCAAAAGGAACATATTATCTCTGCTAAATGTTAATAATTAAAGGAATCCTGCAGGATTTTCAATAAGTGAACTTTAAACACCAAATTCTGAAGCTCTTTAGAAATACTAATAAAGGACAGGCTATTCTAATCACTCTTCTTATGATCAACATGAAATTTTGATATCTATCATCAATAATCTCAACCAACTTTCCCCTTTTCCCTCTCAAACGAAAAAAAAATATAGCACATAGAGAAAATGGGTTTAAAATTTATGAACCCGTGGCAAAATAAGCATAAAGTACCTCTAAATTATATAATTAAGGTCAGGCCTATCATTTTTATAAGTACATTCAAGGCCTAACTAAGTAGTTCTCTATTCATTATAAACCTAAAAGTTAGGTTGATTTTGGGCCAAGAAATGGAAATACCTAAAGAGACCGATAAGATCACGGTATACGGGAGGTTTACTGAGAGATCGACATCCTAACTTTTATGCAAAAAACCCAATTAAGTTCAAGTAAGCGCTTTCGATTTCCAACATAAAATGTAATCAAGAAAAACAAGTGACAGATATTTCCATAGTTCCTTTCTGTATAAGGAACTAATCTGAAGAGCAAGTTGTTACTAGAACTTCTAGCTGGTTTTCTGGCCAGAAAGAGCAGGTATCACTGAACACTCGCTGTTAATATGTTTTGAGAGGACATTTGCAAATATAAACTAACATGGGCTTGAAAGTACCTCAAGAACAGTTTATCTAAAAATTTTAATGATAAATATTCGAAATCCTTCATTTACCTTGGACAATGATGCATCTTTTGATCCAAATGGCTGATCCATAAGTTGTGCGAATTTGAGTTCAGGGGTTGAAGAAGACCCACCTGAACCACTTCCCTTATCCCCACCACAGGTTTCATTAACAACAGCCATACCAGTATTATCCTGGCTAACGTTGTTCTCTGTACGGTCCCAGGAAGTACTCTCCACGTTCTCATTGATGCTCATTAGACCTAGTTTTTGTTCACATGAAGATTGACCTGCTGAAGGAAATTGCTGAAAGAACGGCCAAATGGAAGAAAGTTCCGCAGATGACGGGCAACCAGAGTAACAATTGACCGCTTGTCTCCTATGTGTCGAGTTTGAGGTAGAGGTACCATGCCCTATCCAATCGCAGTTCTGACAGAGTGAAACCCTTTCCTCTGCACATCTAACAAAAGCAGGTTGCGAATTGCATCTTTCACATAACAATGTTCTTGAATGGCGTCTGGACAGCGCATTAGCAGAATGAACATTTCTATCACACGACATGCATAAACAGGCAGCATCAGACCGGCAATATACCACTGGCCTTTGATCTCCACAGAAATCACAAGCATAACCCATGTTTCCAATCACACTACTACTGACAGAAACCTAAAAGTGTCCTCCACAATTTACAATCTTATAAGCAACAATATATCAACTAAGACAAGTAGCTTACAGAAGATCCCCCTCACTATTTCTTCTTGTACTTCAATAGCTGCCATAAGGGGGAGAGGGAGATTAATGTCACAGGAGAATTAAATTCATTTTTGTTTAATGTAAAAGCTAGCTAAGCATTAAAGAAACTTGGAACAACAGACAACACGGGGTAGCTGAATTTACTTCAAACTTTATCATACAATAATGATACAGCACAGAATCAAATTCAATAATGACGGAAGAGTTCACATGATCAGCACAGTAAAAGGGTAAAGTCTATATTTCTCAATATAATCACAGGCACAAAGTGGACAGTTTTTAGCACACAGAAACAAACATAAAACAAGAAAATAATGTGAACAAAAGGATAAGTAAATATGCAAAAAATAGTTCATCTACCTTTAGGGTGACAAATAAAACAGTCGAAACAAAATAAAGAAAAAATTAACAAAAAAGCTTTCGTTTTCTTTTAATATTAAAAAACAGGGAATTAAGCGTTCCAAGAATAGAATTCTATGCAAAGTTAAATTTCATTTCAAAAACATGTTAATAAAGGAATCAAAATATCCACACAAACAAAATCAACTCCATAAATCGAAAAAAAATTGCAACTTCAATCCAAAGAATTCAACTCCATAATCAAACAAAATCATGTAAACAAAACAAGGAAAGCAGAGGAAAAACAAACAAACCCAGAGACCCAAAAATACTAAGAAAGGGTAAATCCAAAACCCAAAACAAGATCAAAATTAAGTCAAAGAAAGAAAGAAAAAACCCCGGGAAAAATCAAATTAAGAACTAAAATAATAGGAGAATTAGATTCTGCCCCAACTGAAAACAAGAAGGAAAAAAAAGAGAGGACGTGATCGGTAACAACCTTAAATATTGAATTGGAAATGGATTGATTTTTGTTGTTGTTGCGCCTTCCAGATTTTTTCTCTGAGTTTTGTTTATGGGAGTGAAGAGATAGAAATCGGTGGGTGCATATGGAAAATGCGATGACATAAGCTGATAAAAAGTGCAAAGAGAGAGAAAATCAAATAATAAAATATTTAGAAAAGTGCAATGTTTTTAATACGACTTGGCCTTACAGGACAGGTTGATTTAGTATTTAAATAATATAGTGTAATTACCATTAAATCGATCTTAAGTAAGGCCTAACAACATTTATTGCCAAAACTCATAAACCTAAACCATACTTAATTTGAATTAATTAATATGCATAAGACTATGGGTAATTGTGTTCTTTTCATATAATTATATTTTATTAAATGGTTTATCTAAATACATAACAAGTAAATAGAAACAAAGGAGAAGGGCAAAATGGGGAGAGTGAAAAAAGTAGGTCCTTTTTCCATGTGTCTGACAAGGATGTTTGTAATTTTGTTTGATATCTTCTAGATTCTTAGATGTGTTTGTTCTAAATATCTAAACTTTAAACCCAAAAAAAAAAAAGTTCCCCCTTTGTTTCCTGTATCAAAGGAAATGATTTTCTTAAGGGATGAGGCAACTACTCTATTTAATCAAACAAAACTAAGAGGTGAAGGTAAATATATGTTTCAAATAGTTTCTAGTTAGGGATGGGTATGAGTCGGTTGGATCGGATTTTTCGGTATATTCGACCCAACTTGAAAATTATAAATCGTCCATTCTACCCAAATTCGACAAAAAAAATATACACCTTTCATTCAACTCGAATCTGACCCTATTTTTGAGATAGAATTTGAACCTTACCCAATCCTACCATAAATAATATATTTATTAAAAATATTATTTTTATTTAATAAAAATATAAATTTAATTGAAAGAAAGTAATATAAATGGGATATTATTGTAATTATCCTTAAATATATAAGGTAAAATTATAATTTTTTGGGTTAAATCGAGTATTTTTCACCTTAAACTCGAATCCGACATGATCCGAACATAACCTTAAAAAACCTGACCTAACTTGACTCGAATGCAAAATTTCTTTTAAAAAATATGACCCGATTTGGTCAAAATCCGTCGGGTTCGGGTCCCATGTACATCCCTATTTATAGTAATCAAAATACCGATAATAAGGATCATTGCCAAACACTAATTATAAAAAATATTTTTTTAAAAAAATTAAAGTGAATCCGAGGTAATATATGTTCAAAATATTTTAATAAATGTTCATATTTCTAATATATGCGGTGCTCGAATTCGGTTAGATTCTTTATATATATATATGAAGTGTTTTCCAATATCATCATCTGTGCATGAAATAATAACTCTCGATAATAATTAATATATATATATATATATATATATATATATATTATTTTTTAAATATATTTTAAAAAATATTCACATGTATTTCTCTATATATTATAGATAATATACTATTTTCATGCGGCATCGCTTTATGAGTGCATCTCTCAATCCTCTGTGTCTGAGTGGGTAACGAATTTGAAAAGAAGAGGGTATAAGATTTGCATCCACCAAACATTTAGATATGGTTTTGAATTCCAACTTTAGGATCCAAATGGAACAAGAAAAATCCACTTCACTTTGAACCAGGATTTGGAAATCTATCTCATAAAGTAATTTATTTTACATCATTTATAGATCATACTACTGATAAATGTAACTTATCTTTAGGATGGATAAATGCCTATTTTAAAATTTGAATTTTTTTATATTCGTTATTTTTTCTATTGTTTATACATATTTTAAAATTTCAGGGTTAAGTATAAATTTAGTAATTGAAATTTATTTTTTTATCTCCTATTCCACTCACTGTATTTTGGATTTTTCTTTATTTTTCTCACTGAACTTAATACATTTTTTGTTACTCAATCGGATCTTCATTAACGGAGTTATGATGCGGCTTTTTTTAACAAAAAATCCAATGCATAAAGTTCAATGATTAAATTGACAAAAGTAAAAGTGTAGTGAGCAAAATAAGAGAGAAACTAAAGTTCAGATTATTCAGTGATTAAATTTGTAATTTAGCTATTAAAAAATAAAAAAAGTCATGTCATAATGATATTAGTGAGAAAACGGTTAAGTGGCAAAAAATTAATATATTAAGTTTAATAAGAAAATTAAAAATATTTAAAGTATAGTGAGTGAAATAAGAAAAGAAGTAAAGTTCGGTGTCAAATTTTTAATTACCCAAAATTGATCTTGCTTACCGATTTTATGCTATTAATATATATTTTTGTAATTAAAAATATTTGTAATCCATCCATAACTTTCAATAAACTTTCGTCTTTTAACAAAAATAATAATAATTGATGTACTTTTTTACCAGCAAAGCAAATAGTGACACGATGCCTGAACTGTGCCATGACTGGCGGAGGTTTCTTAGCTAACAAACCGCCAACAACCAAATTTAATTAATTCAATGCTTCAAAAGGTCTTTAACTTGAAATAAATATGGGCAAAAATATATTTTAAAAGTTAAATATTTATGGACTTTTCTTTTCTTTAAGTTTCCTCCAAATTGGAATAATACAAAACACCGTAAAATTAAGACAACTTAGATTTTTTTTTATTTTTTTATCTTTTCAATTTTAGGGCTTCTCGTTATTAGGGTGACAAATGGGTGAGACGAGTAGGGTACATCTTCTCACATCTTATATAACTAATATTTTTGTATCTATATTTATTATCACTTACAACGAGTAAATCTACATCCGTTCACGTAGAACCATGTGACCATTGAAAAAATGACAAGTGACACTTTAATTTTTTTTTAAATGATAAGTCTGCCTTTGTCGTACATTGTCATATGTCGTTATGGCACATTTTCTTGTGTTTTTGGCATGTTTTTCGATTCTTTAATCGTTTTTTCATATATATATATATTTTAAGGGTTGATTTGATATCGTCGCGGCTTATCAATATGAAATTATTCGATATCTTATGATATTCCCTGCTTTGGACCCTCGGATTAGATTTGGATAATAGATTTTCACGTCGCTCGAGTCTGATTTTCGATTTATTGGTAATCTTTCAATAGCTTATCCTTTTTGTAGTTTGTTTGCCGATGCGATCCGATCTGTTTGTATTTATCTTTGTTCGAGTTTCTTGGTTAAATTTAATATTTCATTGTATGAATGCTTATGTGATCTTAAGTTGCTAGATTTGTTTCAATGATTATAGGAAGTTTTCCAAATTATGTGTTTAATTTACAATTGTGATTGTAAATATTTATTGTAACTTGAAATATTTTTTATTTTGAATAAAATTAGTTGTTTTTTTATAAAAAAAAATCTAAAATCATATTAATTGATATATTTTTTTCTAATTTAATTTTGTATATTCTTTTCTTTTTGAAATACATCTTGAAATAAATTATTGTGTGTTGTGAGTAATGTATTAAAATTGAGTAATATATTACTTATATTAAGTAAAAAATATTTCATAATTTTAAGTCTAATCTTAATTTTATCAAGAAGAGAGGAGAGGAGTGACTTAAGAATGATTTTAATGGGTCTATAACTCATTACTTAAGAAAATACGAGAAAATAAAAATAAATAGTTTGATGTTTATTAATTTGCTCAGTTATTTGACAATTTTACCTTCCCACTAATCATATAAAAAGAACAATCTTTCTCCCTAATTAACAGATACAATTGATAATTATTCTTGTCGAAGAGAGCATATGAGTTCTGATTACTTATTTAAAGTATACATTGTTTTATAAACTGTTAATATGGAGTGATTATGCGAATAGTTCACCATAATTTATATATAACTCCTAATTAAATTTTCTTTCTATAATGTCATATTAGATATAATCATCTAAAACCTAAATTCGAGGCTATTACCTCAAACGAGTCGAACATTTTATTTCTAAAAGTAACACTAATTGTGTCAAGCAAACTAAAAAAATTGAGTTATTAATTAAATTGTTACTATATATTAATTTATAATTTTTTAATAAAATTAATATTTTTAATATATTATTATAATTGTTGTAGTAACACCAACTCAGATAATTATCATATTTTCTTTGAAAAATAGTATAAATAAGGAAAGTACAGACAAAAGTAACTAATTTCTACATTTAGAAAATAA